GCACAAGAACCTTATAAGAAGCTTAGTTTTGATGTTATAGCCTTGGAGTGCCTTGCATGCATGTAAAGTTTGCAACTTTACATGGTATCTACACTATGGAAGGTTGGATCTAGAGTTTGGGATCTTAGACCTTGCTGTAAAGGGCTGAACATGAAAGGGACTGAAGGAATTCATCGAGTCCCTTAGTTGACTCGATGAGTCGGGGTAAGGTCTTACCCGTTTTTGAGTTTCTAGATGAGTACAGAGAAGGATTAGGGGTTTGGTCTGAACGGACATTAGTTTTCTAGACATCTGATGAACTCGACGAGTTACTAGGTTGACTCGACGAGTTGATGTGGGATTCAGTGGAATGGACTCGGGAGGAACTCAATGAGTTGTTGGAGGCACTCGACGAGTTGAGGTCAACATAGACTGTTGACCTTGACTTTGACCAAGGTTGACTAGATATGACTTTGAGGGTAATTTTGGGATTATGACAAGTTAATTGCATGTTGGTTATAGGCATTCAAGGAGGATCATTGTGTGGGATACATCTGATCTTAGTTTTTCAGTTCAACATTCGAGAAGTGAGTCGTCTCACCATACCAATGGGTATAAGGTATCAAGGCCGACCCATTTTGTTAATGTGGATTGTCGATTGATTATGTGTTATGTTAGTATGACATTGCATGGAAGACCCCAAGGGGTTCCCGTGGCATTAGACTAAGACTACGTGGGGGTTCCCGTGGCATTTGGTATAAGACCTTGGACGGTTTGCATGGCATCCTAGTATAATTTCATGATTAGCTTGTATTATATTTGTTTGGTAGGAAGACCATGTGGGGGTTCCCATGGCAGGAAGACCATGTGGGGTTTCGTATGGCAAAAATACCATGTTGGGGTTCCCATGGTAGGTAGTAAGACCATGTGGGGGTTCAAGTGGTACTAGGTGTAAGACCCTAGAGGGTTTCCATGACTTCCTTATATGTTGTATGCATGTCTTATGTGATATGTGTAGCTTTTATAGCTAATATGATATGTGGATTGTTGATTGTGTGTGGGGTATGCTCTGGGGTACTCATTAAGCATTGGCTTACAATTTGTGGATTTGTCTCAAGTACATCTGAGCCCAAGGGCAAGTGCAAGGCTTGATGGCACAGCATGCACTCTCTCAGACATTTTTATGGGACACTCTGATGTTTGGAAATAATATTGTTATGGGTATGAATTTGAAAATTGTAACGCCCCATTTATGGTATGTAATTTAAATAAAGTATTTTCTTCTCAAAAGGGGTACTCGACGAGTCTATAGCCCGACTCGTCGAGTAGAGATGGGACAATCACGCGATTTGAGCTGGCTACTCGATGAGTCCATACGTTGGACTCGGCGAGTCTGCCTGACTGGATGGAGCCATAATTTTAAGGGTTTGCACCCTATTTAAACACACTTATGTGCCCCCAACCTCGCCTCTATCACTCTCAGAACATTTCCCCTGTAAACCCTAGCCCCATTGTTGAGTTTGAGTGTGTTTGTGATAGCTTGGAAGCTTTGGAAAGGAAAGAAGGTCCATTAAAGGGAAGGAAGATCCATGAATTAGCTTACATCTGTTCTTCATTCAGGTAATGAAGTTATAACCTTGTGCATTCCTCCATTATAACCTCCTTTATGCTTGTTATGCCTTCTTTGGAGCCTTTTATTATTCAAAACTTGAGATATGGACTCCCCTTGGATGAAAACTCCAGATCTGGACTCTTATTGCATTCTAGAAGTGTAAAGTTTTAGTTAAGGTCGTGATTGAAGTCCCTCTTGAGCTTGGAACCCCATTAAGAACTTAGCTTTGGCATTTGACGCCTTTAAAGCCATGCATGCACGTAAAGTTTGCAACTTTACGTGATAAGCATGCCCTAGAAGCATGGATCTGTGACTTAGAGCCGCTGCATGGCTCAAATTAGGCCTGTATGGCTAAGGGACTGAATGGACTCGACAAGTCACAAGCTTGACTCGGCGAGTCATATGAAGATAGCCTTGGACTCAATGAGTTGGATGAGCAACTTGGTGAGTCCGATGAAGATTGCCTTAGACTCGACGGGTTGTTCTACAACTCGAAGAGTCGGATGATTTTTCCCGAGAAAAGTAGTGTTTGAGTTAAATGGCTTCATTCCTTCGTAGTTACACGTAAAGTCAGCAACTTTATGTGTTCAGATGGTCCCAAGGGCTCAGATCTACAAGTTAGAGGCCCTAGAATGGATTAGAATTCAATTTCATGGAATCTGCGTTTGGACTCGGCGAGTTGTTGCGAGTCCCCGTTTTCCCTTCGAGTTGTGAGTTCAGAGTGAATCATTGAGTGGGAAAGGGGCTCGGTGAGTTAAAGTCAGAATTAGAAAAGGAGGGAATCGGCGAGTCTGCGCCCCTG